TATTCCCTAACACTGATGTGTGGTCACTGCCATCTCTCACCTACACCCTCAATATGCAGGGAAAATTAAAATATATAATTTGCTTCACATATAAATTCCTATAATTTTCCTAGAGAAAAATTTAGCAATATTTATCAAAATACTTAAAATTACTAATGAACAGATTCTTGGTTACAACATTTAGAAATTTATCACAAGAGAAAAAAGTTGCAGAAAGATTTATGTATAGGGGATATACCTATTAGTAGTCTTTATTATCGTGAAAATTGGTAATAACCTAAATATCCAACTCAAGGTGCTTGAATTAAATAAAATTATAGTCCTACCATATGATAGAATATTCAGGCACTAGCAACCATATTGCAGAATATTTAATTCTGTGAAAAAAAATTTATGTGTTGTTAGGTGAGTAGTTTGGGACACAAAACCAAATGTACTCTTTGTTTTATTAAAAGAAGTCAAATGTATACGTAAGTACAAAAAGGTCTAGAAGGCTTATTTCCTGAGGCTTGTTGTTTCGTAAGTGGTATACCATTTATTTTCTACTCTTTCTATTGGTAAAATTTTCTAAAATAATAAAATCTGGTTTATTATAACAGAGACATAATTCTTCAGTAAGAAAAAGTTAATGTTACTAAATATCTTGTCTGTCCAAGATCAACTCTCTAAGTATCTGCAAGGTACCACATACATGAAATAAATGATTTCTCCATTCGTAGATTTTTACGGTACACATTTTTCATAGAATTCTGCTGTTTTATATTCTCCTCTAATTGTTTTGGTACAAACTCTCACAAGAAAGTAGCAATCTCATACAGCCTCACGACTTGAACAGTATCTGTATACTGATGTTCCCAAATGTCCATTTCTAGTTCTAGGGTCGCCAATGAACTCTGCGCATGCCTCTGGGATGTCTAACAGGCATCTCAAATTTAAGAGAACCATTCATTTATTAATATCTGGTCAACTCCAACAACCAAACCCCAGATGCGCTCCACTTCCAGAATTCCTTTTTTCACTTCATGACATTATCATCCCCCCTGGTTATCTTCCTTATACTCTCTTTCTCTTGTCCCAATTTCCAATCCATCAACAATTCCTGATAACTCCACTTGCCAGATTGACCCGAATCCATCAGTTTCTCATATTATCCACTCTTCTTATTCTAGCCCCAATCAATTTCTACTCTTGCTCTTCAGGTCCATTTTCCATAGTAAAGCCAAAATTATCTTTATGAAACATAAATTAAATTCACCATACTCCACCTAAAGCCTTTAAATGGTTTCCTTTCCCACTTAGGAGAAAACTGAAATGCCCCACCAGAGCCTACCAGTTTCCCCTTAATTCATTTTATGTTTTCTTCTCTTCTGTATTCATTCTGTTCCAGACACATGGCTTTCTCTTCGTTCTCTGAATACAATTAACCTACTCCTGCCACAAGTCCTTGAATGTATTATTTCCTCTGCCTCAAACACAGTTCTCCCCGGTTTTCCTATGATTCCTTCTCCCTTTCCCATGATTCCTTGTCAATCAGTATCAACCCAGCCGCCCCCCAACTTGGAATGGCCTCCCCAAGCTCTCTCTTCTTGAGTGCCTTTCCCTACCTCATCTGTTCAGTTTTCTTGATTTGTTCACATTTGTCAGCTACAGGCATTGTATTGTCCTTTTCCTTAGAATATAAATCCCATGACAGCAGGCTTGCGTCTGCTTTGTTCACCCATGTAACCTCAGTGCCTTGTGCGGAACCAGGCCCATAGTGGGAATTCAATAAGTATTAGTGGAATATTTTGAATAAATTAATGATTAAGACATTTGCAAAGTAAAATCCCTACCCACTTGTTTAATGACTCTAACTGCAGAGGTTACAGGGTAGAAAATGAGGTGTGCTCAATGGCAGGCCTAGAAGAAAGATGTTTGGGGGCTAGCATATGGAGACAGTTTTTGCTAATAAATATGGCTGGCTTATTTCCATATACTTAGATATGGAAAAAAAAGGACAAGAGGAACTTTTGCTTACCCCTATGATGAGAGATGGCATTTTTATAGTATACTGTATTCTCGGCAAATGCATTTAATATCCATTACAATAAAAAACAAACTCCAAACACAAATAAGTGATCGCCTAAATCTACAGATTAGATTCTGAAATAGGTTCCTTCTTCTACTTCCTCCCTTGCTCCATACTTATTCTCAAATTAATAAATTCTCACTTATAGAAGACGGTTTTCTGAACCTTTTCAGACCTGACCCTGTGGTGGGTCTTTTTAACTGCCCCTGGATATTACAGCACAGCAGCCGTTCCCACTAGGACACACACATGTGACCAGCGGTCAGAAGTCTGGCAAAGTCAAAAATTTCTCTTCATCTCCAGTACAGCTGTCTTAGGAAAGAACATGTTCTAAGACATTACAGGTGAATATTGTACAAAATATGACTTTCTGCTATCTTCTGTAAAAATCTAAATTTCAATCATATCACCCTAGTAGACTTTAAAAAGATAGACCTCAAAGGTAGCATTTTATTTCATATTCTCTTGTAACTCTGGAAGGAAACTTAAGCATGAATAATTGGAGATCTGCACACTAATATAAAGATGAAAGAATGGGACTCAATTTAACATGGGTGCTAAAAAAAGTGGACTTATTTCCCTCTGCCACCTTGAAAAGGATATGGCTTTGAAATCTATGAAGCAAGAAGGGTCAAATGTCATGCCAAATGGGCAACATATCAGTGAACCCTCCTGTGAAGAATTTTTAATAAACCCTACATTTTGAGTATCTACTTATTTCTTTGTGAATATGTTTTTTTTACATGTACTCTTTTGTATATAGCAGCTCCATCCTTATTGCCTACAACAGGGTTTTCCATCTGTTTTTCTAATATATATATGTATGTGTGTGTGTGTATACATATACCATTAAAACAGTTTGAACACACACCCACTCAACACATATTTATGTATTTCTAAACTATATGCATGTGCTATTGCACTGTTACATATTTTATATACCTTCCTACAACCAAAAAAAAAAACCAAAAACTTAAAAAGGATGTGACAGAACAAATATACATTGAAGTTCTGTATTTCCTTTCTGCCCTCCAGTGGCTCAGCTTGTGAACTCCCTGGGGAATGCTTAGCCCACGTTGGAGACCACTAAGCTTTGCTGTCTCTCAGTGAGAGGAACCACTTTTTATTAAAGCTCTTTTGATTTTATGATCCATTGTGCACTAGAGTTTTTGAATAATACAGATCTACATACCATATTATAGCCCGTGATGCTGTGAGGTGCCACCTAGATGAAAGCATTTGTTCCTCTCGCTGTATGTAATATTGTTGGCTCTGACTCAGAGCTGAGTTAACACACCCTACCTCCACCCCACCAGCCCTCATCCAATCACTGGTCAGTGTGGGACAATGAAGACCCACCTCCTTGTTTCAACTCAGGACAACCTGAAAGAGGCCTCCCAGCTCCTGAGGTCCTACTGGGTTCAGGCGAGGCTTCTGTTAAAGCTACAACACAGTTCAGTTGCTCCCTCTGTGCCGTGCCCCTCCCTCCAGCCCCTTACTGACTGCAGGGCACTCTGCCGTGAAGCTCCTGCACACACATCTCTGTTTCACAGTCTCTTTCCCGGGGAACTCCAACAAAAACATATATACATCGGCATATACTTAGGAATCTAGTTTGTTTATGTGTCAAGTTCCTAATAGATTGTTTATTGGCCCACTGGAAATTTAAGAATTAAAAAATATCCTAGGGGCTTCCCTGGTGGCGCAGTGGTTGAGAGTCCGCCTGCCGATGCAGGGGACACGGGTTCGTGCCCCGGTCCGGGAAGATCCCAAGTGCCGCGGAGCGGCTGGGCCCGTGAGCGGCACCACTTTTCTCTTATACTTTTCCTAATGGAACTTATTTTTGATTCTGCTCTCCAGGGTGAGAGCTCTGTTTTCCCAATGTACCAGCCGTAGAAAGAGCAAAGTAGCCATTATTGCCTCCTGAGAAGGAGAAATCTCTGGTATTGGACACAAGCCCCTATAACTTGCTTTGCTCAATCTGTAGAGACTCCCATAAAAATGGAATCCTAAGAACTGGCCCCATATAAACTTAAGTTTTGCGGAACAGTTATGAGAAGCATACCAACGACTCTGGAATAATATCAATAAAAACTCAGTACTATGCTTAGGTATAGATTCTGACATAGAACACTAGAAGTCAGTGTCAACTATCCATACAAAGTTTTGCTTAGAAAAAATTAAAACATAAATTGTTATAAAAAGACTAATAACTTAAAAAATAGCCCTTCTTAGCCCAAACCCCAACAGATGCAGAATGGAAGGTGGTTTTTACAACATGTAATATAATATTTGGCTTTCATTAATCAAATAGTTTGATGAAATATTCCTTTGACAGATACCTTCATGCTTTACTTGCCATGTATTAAAAACAGCAGTATATACTCACTTAATTAAATAATATTATTAAAGATAAAACAAGTATTTCATAAACAACCATTAGGTAACATGTAAAAGGTGATACAGGAAATAAATACAAGAAATGCATGTGATTCATTTATGACTTAACTTTTGTTGAAAATGCAGCAAAAACCTTCACAGCAAGGCTCAGAAAGTTGCCTGGAAGGTGACTTTGGCATCTTCCATGCTCTTCTATGTGTTTTCTTTGTTGGTGACAGTAGTTCCCATGTCTAAAGCTTATTCGTTAGGGATGAAGCTCATCCCGAGATTCTCATTATTTACTGAAACCCTGAAACCATGGTTCCTTTTACAGATAGATATTATCCATCCATTAAAATACTGCTGCACATTGACTGTATATGAAAATCACTCAACCAAATACTTCCAAAACTCTAGATACAAATAATTTACTCCAGTACTCAGTTTCAGGTAGGATTATCAGATAGGATTAACAGGTTGATGACATATAATGGAAAGTCATCATTCACTAGTTATCACTGAGTATACCAATAAATAGAGCATTGGCACTTACCTGAATAACATGCTTCAGTTTATCAATAATCTGATTTATCACAGGATCGGTTCCTTTGACTTTGACTTCGGGATTTCCAGACTGGGCTTTGATTCCATTTCCAACCACACGCTGAGTATAGCTAACAAAGTGAAAAGTGAAAGGTACATGACTTAATAATCTGGTCACAGTATTATCTGCCACAACTTTTTGAACAGATTCGAGTTCAGAATCTTACTCCTTCAAGAGTATAAAATAATGTATTTTTTCTTGGACCAGAACCTGGCACAGCTGCAATGTTTTTTCCTGGTAAAACACTTAGCATGCAAATACAGACTATTCTATTGTTATCCTCTCAAAAGACCCAACCAAAAATTGTGTTTTTAATACTACTTACCAATATACTAAAAACAGTTAATATACATCTCACTTTGTTACCAGTCTTTGCTGAATTACACACGTCTGAATCCATATCATCTGGGTCAATTCACTTCATTTTACACAGTATTTAGATGAATCACAGTAATATTTTTTTACATACTGGACTACAAAAGAAATACATATACACATATACACATATATATGTCACATAATGTCAACTTAGTACTCAAACAAATATTTAGATTCATCAGTCACAAAGATGTATTAAGCACCCCCTCCTATATTCCAGTCCTATACTACATGACTGGGGTTATAAGGAGTTATAAGACTCAATTCTTATCCTCACAGCACTCATTATATACCTGGGAATATAATGTATCAGTTAACTTGTTCATTCATGCATTCATTCATTACATTATATTTAAAAGTTCTTACTAGATTCCAGCAATATAACTACCTTTATTTTCCTGACAGTGTGGTGTAGCATAATGACAAGTGAACAGTTAAAGCGCAGCAGTAGGAATGAAGGAGACGTTCAGTATGTGGTAGGGATAGCAAGAAGGAAGAGTATATGCCAAGTGAGAGGGAGGGATAACACAAGTAGTAAACATTGAACATATGGAGTTTATTTGGACCAAGGAGTTATAGCTTGAGGCAGCCCTTGAAATATTAAGGTAAGGATAGGTCTTGGATGTAGTTAATGTGCTCCCCAGGGCAAAAGATGACATCCCAGCATGGGAAATCGCAAAGGCCCGTGAGTAACACACACAGGGAAGCATAACTAGGCTTTTATTTACAAAGGGAGAGAACAAATGGGGGAAAGTAAGAGATGGGGGACATGCCCTGGAGGTTCCATCCCCTCTATGTTTAAGACTTTCCTCTGAGTAAAATGTTGCTTACATTAAAGTATCATGATAAAGTGGCCTCACAGACTTTTCAGGAAGCATTTTCCCATAATTTGTAATGTAATATCCCTTCTCTGTATTTGAGCAGAGTATCACAGTTATGCACATGAACCTTCGGAATTTTCTACAGCAGTGGAAACTCTTTGAAAAGATAAAAAGAGGTTCCATTGTTGAGAATATGGCCAAACAAAAGGAGTTTCAAGTAATATCCAGTTATTCCCAATATTACACATACCCAATGATCAATTTTCAAAAGCAGATCAAACAATTGCTAATTATGTCCTTCCAATGATAGTAAACGATGGAACTCTTTGATATGGATAATACCAATTGGATGTTATAAGAATAATGATATTAATAACTCTTTATTTTTAAAACAACCTTGAACTCGTTTCTTTATGCAGAAATAGAGGGTTTTAGAGTTAGGTATTCCAGTGTAAGTTAGTAACTTAGCAATATATACCAATAACAAATAGTAGAAGGAAAACAATTATGCATATACTATTAATGTGTACTAATATTCTTTAGTTAAGAAAAATCAAGTAAATTATAAATATTAGGCTTCTCTTAACTTCTCTGTAGCACTGTTATGTATTTCTTCCAAATATTTCAAGTAGATTACGCATGTGGCTCCCTTATTAGTGTGATTATTAATAATAATGATGAATAATGTGAATAAATAAATGGATAAATGATGACTATGACTCAGGCATTGTTTTAATTACTTTCTTTGGAGTCTGTCAGTTCATCTCAGTGACAAACATTTGTTGCAGCCATGAGAACATGCCTCATAGGCTTCAAAATATTGGAAGTGTCATTGACCAGGGCACCTGCCGCTTTGCTCTGAAATCTATTTGTTTGTCTCCTCCAACCAATGACTGAGTGCAGCAGAGATACTAACACAGACCCATCACTGGAAGACATAGCTTTCCCCTAATGGTCAATTTTGACTCAGGATTCCCTGCAGCCCCTGCTAAACCTGCCTTAGACGGCACCTCATGCCGAATGCTTCCACTCCACCTTGCTTCCCTCTCTCCTTCACTCCGGGTCACGTTTGCTTCATGGCCAACAGCTCTTCCAGCCTTACCCAGATTCCTCCCCGTTTTCACTCATAGGCATTTCACTTAATAAAACTCCTCTTGTGTTTAGTCCTTCTTTGGCATTTGCTTCTTGGAGGACCCAGAACAGTACACCATATAATATTTATACGATAATTATTCCCTATCTGTAGACTGGGGATCTAAGATTTGAATAGGTTAAGTAACTCTCCCAAGGCAACACTGCTGGTTAAATATACAGCAAGGATATGAACACAGGGAATGTGAGCTCTAGATACAATCATTCAATAATTATGAATGAAAACTCCTGAAACCAACTAACATAAAGATACAATTAGCTTGGTGCAAAGTGTTTGTTTTTTTAATTGTTTTGTTTTGACTTGATTTTTTTTTACTCTAACTATAGCATTTCAAAGTCTTCACCGCTTCTAATTAAAAGGGATATACTATTTTCTTCAAAAACCTCTTCAACGAACAGTTGTATATTACTAGATAAAGAGTGAAATAACAGTTGCTGGCAGGGTGAGACTGAACTAATAGACTGCAAGTTTGCCTTAAGATTTTCCTTTGTTTCACCTGAAATACAGACATAATGCCAACAATGGAAACTGAGACTCCTCTCTTAACTTTAAATAAACACTTACTTGGTTCACGTCTTGATTTATTCATAGACCATGAAACTTTCTTTTAACATTCAAGAATATTGTTCCACATTAATCCAAAGAATTGCTTATTTTTTGTTCTTAATTATTACAGTAAATAACTCGTTAAATTTATCAGAATTACAATTGATCAATAATCTCCTTCCCAGCTAGTATATTATCGAATAGTTCAGGATCACTATTCTTATGTATCATCTAAGTAAGAAAAAAATATTGCAAAGCAGGGCATTTAAGATACTTTAAGTGAAACATACTTTAATAAAATTATTCTTTTCTGTTTTTGTAAGGTTAAGAAGAACCACAGTGCAATAGTGATATACACACACCAGAATGATTTAAATGAAAAAAGATGATACCAAGCATTGGCACGGATGTAGGGCAGTTAGAACCCTCTCTCCTTGTGGATGGGAGTTTAAACTGATATAAACCACTATTTGACGTGTATCCGGGTATATACTAAACAATGTTTACCAAAAGAAAGGTATAGAATTTTCGGAGAAGTACTATGCAAAAGAGCACCCAACTGTACAAAACCCAAATATCCCTAAACATTAGCATGGGCAAATAAATGGTAGAATATTTACATAATGTCATACTATATAGCAATGAGAATGAGTGAATTACAACTATATTCCAAATCTTATAAGCAACATATGGAACATGTGCTATGATTCCATTCATTAAAAGTTAAAAACTAATCAATGATGTTCCAAATCACCATAAGTACTACTCTAGGAGATAGTGTGCAGAAGCTTGAAGGGGGTTTCTGGGGTTCTAGTAATATGTTTTTTGATTTGGATCCTGGCTCCACAAGAGTACTCATTTTATATTAAAAAAAAAAAAAAGAATTGAACTGCATAGTTAAAATTTGGATACCTCACTGTATACATGTATTTTCAACCTAAACAAACATTTACGTTGAAAACTTCTCGTGTTCTTTTTCTTAATATGCATACAACAGACAAATTTGCATTGAACAATGTATAAATAAAAGATCAACATAGGTATTTTTAACACGGGCTAAATGGTTTTGTCATCATAAAATTAGTAATTTAGGCTCCTAGTCTGACACAAAAACTCCCTGCAGACTTTAATTTGCATGCAAAAAATACAGTTACTAAATCAAATCAAAGTTTTTCCAACAGACTTCTTATATGAGTTTTTCTCATTATGAAATTTTAATAAATCATTAATCACTCTTTTTCCTCCTACATGTACAAGTAATGGGTAAAACATTTCAAGGAACCCTACAGAGGCTTCTTGACTTGAAAAACTGCTCACATTTCAATGAGAAGGAGGGAACAAAACACACACAAAAAAGAGGCAAATTTTTTGTTAGAGAAGTAATAGACCCACCATCTGTGCCTGTTTCTTTTAAGCAGGTCTGGGAATGGATGACAGCAGTTTAATAGGAATACTCATTCCACAAGTTTGACTTGCTTCTCATTAACATGGCAAAAAGGCAAGTACGGATATATTTACATTCTATAAAAATGTTTTAAAATGATGATTAACAAGATTCCAGTTCTCTTTGTGTTCAACAGATGAAATATTAAAAAGAAGTGCTAATACATCTACACACGGTATGTCATTAGGAAGTCATTTCTCCTGACGTTACCAACATTTCTTATTTGAAACACACCATGCCCTCTTGGCTGATATTAATTTCATTTTCTTGGGAATGCAATAGAATTTGTTTCAGATTCACATCAAAAGTATGGTATTTTGATGTGCACTTATACAATTTCAGGTGGAAAATATATAAAATCTGTCCCTGGAATTCATCATGAATCATTAAAGTGATCTGTCTTAGAAGTTTTTGATAGCTTCACTGGGACAAGATAGAAGAATATGATCATTGATCAGAGATGAGGAAAACACCTTATCAGGGGCTTTCTCTTTCTACTATTATTGCCAACTCTGTTAGAGATTCAAGATTGAGAATGGGGACCATGTTGGTGGTGGTGGTAATAGTAGCAGCAGTAGTAGATGTTTTGTTTATATCCTTTTTCCTGACTTGGTTAGGTGATTGTATATTAAAATTCCTTCCATTTCCAGAGTTCTGAGTCTCCTAATTTTAGGAGGTGTCTTTGACTCTGGTAAACACATTGCTGTCTCTGGTCTAAAGGTCTGGGA